TTCTGTGACACTGAAAATATTTTATTCTACCTTCACCTTGGATCAGTAGTGGGCTGTTTACATTTCTGGCTGGGAGAGAAGTGTTTCAAATGATAAGGGTTTGGACCACTATTGTGTAGCTTCCATCTTTGCTGTTGAGCTCCCTTGAAGTGTTCTGTTTTGCTCCTCTTGGGAGCTTTTAGATCTTATTTTCATCCCTTTATTTCACAAGTGTGTGCCTCATGTGGTTCTCTCTTCATTGTTTTCCTTGGTACTTGGTGGACCCTTGCATTATGAAGATTCATGTCCTTCAGTTTCAAGAAAGTTTCTTGAATTATTTCTTTTGTTATTTCTCCCACAGTGTCCTCTCTCTGGAGCTGCTTATAGTTCAGTATTGGACTTTCTGGTTTGATTTTATAATTTTATCTTTTCTTTCTCTGTTCTCCCCCTGACCCCCCCCCCCCATTTTATGGAAGACTGTTTTAACATTGTATTTCGACTCTTTGTTAGTCTTTAACTTATTTATCCTATATTTAATTTCCAGTGTTATTTTTATACTCCTTTGTTCCTATTAGATACAAATCATTCTCTTATCTCACCCACCAGCACCCATACTATGTAAATTCTACCTGTTCTTCAAGGTCCAGCTTAAAGTTTAACTTTTATGAGAACTTACAGCACAGTCCAGCTCTCTGCATTGGCCAGGAATTCAATGGTATCACTTCAATCTCTGCCATCTAATGTATCAGAAGTTAACACAGACAACCCACTTAAAAATTATGAATAAAGGAGTTGGAGTATAATTCAAGATAATCCTTCAAAATAAGACCAAGTAGGAAAAATGAAAGACAAAAGGAAAGAAAAGACGAAATTAGAGGATCAAACCAGATGGTCTTAACATCTGATTAAAAGATGCCCCAGAAAAAGAAAATAGTGGGGAAAGGAAATTATTAAAGAAACAATAAAATGAAGTTTCTTAGTTAAAAAAAAAAAGCTTTTTTAGTTTAAAAAGTTTACTTTTTCTTTATCAGGCACAGTGCCCTGTCTAGAATTGGAAATAAAACAAGTGTTAAGCAGTCCTTGTTGATTTGAATTAAATGACAAGCCATCCTAATCCTGCCCAGACAGGCTACCCCATGGGGATTCTCTTTTTATTTTTTCCTCTTTTCCACTTAATTGTGGCTTAATTAATTTACTTTTGCTTTTTTAATTGGTGTGTTATAGTTGTGGGATTCACTGTGATATGCTCATGATGCACATGACATGTTTCCATTAATTTGTTCTGCTGCTCCTCCTCTTTCCCATCCCTGCTCCTGCTCCCCATCCCCTTCTCTACTCCGCTGTTCTCCCTTCTATTTTTATGAAATCCTTCCCTTTTCTATTTCCCTGCAGCTTTCACATGTAAAAGAAAACATTCAACCCTTGACTGAACCTGGCTTAATTCACTTAGCATGATGTTCTCCATTTCCATCTGATTAACCACAAATGACATAATTTCACTCTTCTTTATGACTGAGTAGAACTCCACCATGTATACAGACCACGTTTTCTCTAGCCAGTCCTCTGTTGATGGGCACCCAGGCTGGTTCCACAACTTGGCTGTTGTGAATTGGGCTGCTATTGATATTGGTATGCATGTCTCACTGTAGTATGCTGATTTTAATTCTTTTGGATAAATAACAAAGAGTGGGATGGATGGTGGTTCCATTCCTAGTCTAGGAATCTCCATGCTGCTTTCCAGAGTGGTTGTACTAATTTGCAGTCCCACCAACAATGTACAAATGTGACTTTTCCCCACATCCTCGCCAAGACTTATCATTAATGGTATCTCAATGACCGCCATTCTGACTAGAGTGTGTTCTGATTTGCATTTCCTTGATTGCTGGGGACCCAACAGCACTTCTGTAGAGTACCAGGAGCATCAGTATCTGTCAGCTACAGGGGCACGGGACTTACAAACCTCTGCAGACCTTCCTACCTAACCACAGTTCTCTACATGATGCAGTTGCAGTATTTCAGTGCCTGCTTTCTTTGTCTTCCTCAAAGCTATCAACTTAGATTTCATAGTAAAAGCCCTTCCTTTCTCACTCATATTTCTTTGGTTCATAAAATATTAAATTGAACAATGCAGCTTAAATACCAAGAACAATTGGCATGCGCAGGACTGTAAACAAACATGTCTGAATATAGACTGGCCTCTGACCCAGTTATAGGACCAGAAGGGCTTGGTGGAGAGCAGCCTGGCAGCCTCTGGCCTCCAGCCGGCCCAGGGCATCACTGAGTGCAAAGAACAAAGGACATTCAGCTGTGCAGTCGGTTGAGTGGAAGTCCGTCGGGACAGCGCTGACGGCACTCTAGTCTTTGCACAGCAATAGGCAGCCCTGGAAAAAGTAGATCTGAGCTTATCACCTCTCCTGGGTCCCCTTGCAATCAAGGGTATGCACAGGACAGCCAGCTGACTCCCCTTAGTGCTCAGTCTCCGTGACCCTGAAGGGGCCAGGCATCTTGGTCTGGTTAGAACCAAGATCCCCAAGCTGAGCTGTCACTTCCTGGCAGGAGTCCTCATGGATCCAACAGAGCCATGCTAGGTCCAGAAGTCTTGTGCCCTCCACTTCAGGATGGGACACCCACTGTTCTCCTGCTCCTGGCTGGGGCAGTCAGCCCTGAACCACGTCTCTGACCGCCTCCTCCTTCCCCTGCCTCCAACCACCAGGCTCTACAGGAGTAAGATGCGGATTCTCAGACAGGAAGTAAGCTGTCCTACTGGTTTGGAGGGCCCCTGTGCAATATGAATTAATTTTTATAGGAGCCAATGAGATGGACCTGGAAATCCTATTCACAGTTTTCCTTACAAAGGGGAACCTCGAAATAGAGCTGACACTGGTTGTCATTAGACAGGAAAGAGTACTTGTGCTCCTGGGTCCTACCCAAGGGACTGGCATCACTTACAGACCATAATCACAGGCATGAAGGAAGCCATCCTTCCTCTCCCTTGGGAGCAAAGACTTCTCTGCAAATAAAGGCAGGTACCGCAGTTGAGGTGCTGCAGGAGAGCTTCACAGCAGACAGGAACGCAGGTCCATCAGCCACAGGGCGGCTGCACAGACACAGGCCAGAATGGGAGCCACTCTCTGAACTGGTTTCTTGATGGACTTAGTGACCACAGCCGTTCTTCCTGGTGCTGACTGGTTGAGATCAGCAAGGCAAGGGTGGCAGAACTGTGGCAGGTTCCACACACAGGGTGTTTCCTCTGCCCAGGCCCTCTCCTCGTTCCCTAATGAGTTTTCTGTTTCTTCTGTGGATACCTCATGGTGAGGTATGAATAAAATTTTTCACTTTGGATTGATAGTAAGAACAAATTTAAAATATCAGCAAATATCCTTTGACTCTTATTCTTAAGTTTCCTCTTTGAACACTGGATTGTAATAAGAGGCCAAGGCTGGACCATTCCCACCTTAGTGTATTTGGTTTTCTCCAGTAGTGGCTCTTCTTTTGCTCTTGTGCACGTTCAGGGAGGCTGGCATGTTCAGTGCCCAGCTGGCCTCCACCACTCACTCTGGCTGGGCATACCGTGGCTGTGAGCCTGCATGGGCCTCTCCAAGGGGCCAGGTGTCCTCACTCATCCATCTGCCCTCAGGCCCCACCAGAGCAAGGCTCTGTGCTCCTGACAGCTGGGGAATCAGGCAGTCCCCTGAGACCAAGCCCTGAAGGCTCTCCTCGTGTGTGACCCCAAAGCTCCCACAGCCTCCTTCTGCATGTGGAGCATTGGCTCAATTTTTCTTAAACACTTTTCCAAATGCCAGTGATCCCTCCTGGAGAATCTGCAGTGGCCTGAGAAAGCCTCCTTCTACAAGTGTGACTTCCCCTCAGGCACTAACCTGGATGTGCTTGCTCCTCCTGGTTCCACATGGTGGATTAAGCACTCTAAACTTGGCCTCGTGGAGAAAATACGCAGGTAGTAATTCCTCTTCATATCACAGCCAGAATACCTTCCTGTGCCTGGGAAGTGACAACCTGCCTTACTGAATGACATTTCCAGGGGCTAATGTTCACAACAACCATCTTCTTTCACAGCCCCCAAAATAAATTCTTGTGACTCCTTCTCTTACACAAAGATGAGATCAGTCAGTCACTCACCATGTGCCTTGTCCACGGAGCAGCTGTGCCAGGGCAGTGGGAAGGGTTCCCCGGAGACCAAAGAAAATACCCCAAGGGGGCTCATGAGGCCCATGCTCCTGAGAAACACACAGGGGAAGGTCCAGTGGTGACTGCTGAACAGATGGCACTTCTGTCCCTCACTGCTGCACCAAGCAGGGCCTCCTCCCCCTGTGACATTCTGTTCAGTGGCAGCCAGCTGGAGGAGTGACCCGTACCCTTCCACAGTGCCCTCAGCTCCACACCCATCCCTTTGACAGAGGGTTTCACATGTCAGGTGCAGAAGCTGTGACATCATGAGCAGGAGCTTGCTTAGGGTCTTGTCTGACCAGCACCGCAGGGAGTAACTGTCCTGGTGCAAGTGGAGGGAAGCAGCTTTCTACAGATTACAGTGGCTTGCCTGATTCCCAGCGTGCAGGGGGAGCCTTGTCCTTCAAGACAGAACGTGTGGACCTTCAGGCCCAGGCCACTCTAAGGTTGTTCCATGAGCTAGGTTTTGGCGAACAAGGAGGGGGCACTTAGAGCAGGGTGTTGTCTGCCCCCTTTTCTCCAAAGATGGTGCACCATGGAATTGGGTCTCCAGGTGAGAAAATCCCAACATCCCTTCTGTGTAGAACCATCCTTTCCAAACATCACCTAGAAGGAATCTTCTGTGACATCAGGTCACTGTGCCACGTTTTATAACAGAATAAAGCTATAGGTCCAAGAGCTGTAATGGAAAGATGTTTGTTTAAAATGATAATAAATTAAAAGACCTTGCCATATTTTCTAAAAACAGAGAGAAAAAGAAAAATTGAGTATAGGGGGGAAAATGGTCTGCCTCAACCCAGGACTGTAATAACACTGCCTCTCTTTCCTTGTTTTAGGGAATGCTGTCGATTTTTTGGAGACAATGGCTTGACTTTGAAGGTGTTTTTTACCAAGGCAGCCCCTTTTGGTGTTCTTTGGACACTCACAAACTACCTGTACTTACATGCAATAAAGAAAATAAACACTACGGATGTGTCGGTGTTGTTCTGCTGCAACAAAGCTTTTGTGTTCTTGCTCTCATGGATCGTTCTCAGGGACAGGTTCATGGGAGTGAGGGTAAGTTCCTTATTATCTGTCTTCCCCCTCACTCAGTCATGTCAGCCAAACCTGCCCATTGGCTTGCTTAGCTCCATGTGCTGGACCATGATCATTAGCTGCTGACTACCATCCTTCTGATTCGCAGCAGAACAGGAGCCTGGCAGGGCTGGTTCACGGTGTGCCTTGCAAACCTTCTTGCTTGCAAACCATACTAGATGAGCTTCCATTAAAGCACCTTTCATTTCAAGCATTCCCTAAAGTACGTGCCAGTCCGGGGCCCAGCCTGGGAACAGCGATGTGCTCTGCTCTCTGCGTGCTCACCTCCCCCTCCATGGTGGCTTTCTAGGCTGCCGCACATGGCATGGTGACTTGTGCCCTGTAGCCTGGAGCTTCCTGCCAACACCAGCACTCTCTGGTTAGGATGCATCTGAAACCCAGAGGACCTTTGAGTGCCCACGAGTGTGAGCGTCCTTGCCCATGCCTGGCCCATGTGTCTGCACCCCAAGTGAGCGAGACACACTTGTGTGAAGTCCAACTAGAGGGTGATTTCACTTCCTTTGTGCCACAGGCGAAGGGCAAGGGAAATCGCAAGCCCTGGATCGCCTCTCATTGCATTCAAAGCCAGTCAGAGTGCACAACGGCTGTATGAAGTATGACAAATGTGCTATCAAATGCCAGCTGAAACCCAGAGCAACCTGCCCCAGTAAAAGGAGCTGGTGACATTTCGCCTGGACAGAATCCTAATGGCTTCTGCCTGCTCCCTCTGGTGGTCAGGAGCTGCTACTGCCCATCATCAGCTTGTCACAAACCAGACAGCTTTGACCCTGCTGCTAGTGCTCTCCCAGTTAGAGCGCATCCCTCCTGCCTCCCGCCTCCAAGCCAAGAGCCAGTTTGATGGCAGCCCCACTAGAGTGAGCCATGCTGGCAACCAGTGGGGGCAGAGGCCACCACCTCTGTCCTTGCCTCACCGTCCTGGGAACAGAGACATCACCCTTCGGTGGGTTCACGCCCACCTAAGTTACTCAAACAGCATCAGGGACATGAGTCAACTGCTCAGTTGTATTTTTAGCTTTCAGTAGGGGGAGAATTTGTTTTGAGGCTTCGTGTTAATTTTGGAATAAAAACTCACTCCCTGGGCTACCACCCAGAAAAGCCTTCAACAAATAAATGATCTAATACATCTCGGCAAGAATTGCAGGTGCTTCCCGCAGTAACTTACCCCAAGGCCTCTGGATTTGACACTGAAGACTCAGATGCCCTTCGTGACTTTATTGTGATGCAAAGAGCCAAGGTGATTCATGGAACTCTTGGCATAATTCAGATGTCCTAAGCAAATTCCCAATGAGACCACCTCACTGGGAAGAGAAGCTTGGAGGTGAATTCTGAAGTTGGCAGAAGAAAACAACCTTTCTGAGGTTAAGGAAAGGAAGTGCAGAAGAGCCCGAGCTGCTCCCAGCCTCGAAGAGAGCAGTGGGCACTGGCAGTCCTTTTCTTTATTGCTCTTCCTGGGTGGGGGCTCCCCAGCACACCTGCACTATGCTACATTCTGGCCTGGTGGCCACTTGAGCACTTGGATCTGTGTTGATTGCTGCAAACCACAATTGTGTCCTGCAGACTTTCAGCTCTAGGCTGGCACAGACATGCAGGCCCACAGGGTCAGGCATCGATGTTGGGACCTTGTAACTTGCCAACACAGTGCAGTCTCAGTCTCCCCTTAGAAGTCCAGGGCCAGTCACCAAACAGCCTCCCCCTTCAGGTTTCACAGCATTCCCACCTGCCCTCCTTAAACAGCCCAGGAAGCTGGCCACATCTGCACGATGGAAGTTTGGCCCCAATAAACACATGGCAATGTTGGACCAAGATGATTTCTAAGTGGTGCCCAGTGTCTTAGACTTCGCTCAGACTTCTGGGTTAGCTAGCACCTTCCACAGGGCAAATTCCAAAGACAGAAAGGAGCTGAGCTGGCCTCCATCGCAGGGGCTGAGCATTGAGCTTGAGAGCCAGCTGCACTGGCAAGAGAGACATAGCTGAGGCCCAGCCTCTTGGGGGAGTCGGGTATGCAGAAGACTGTGATGGACAGCTGCTCGGTCATCAAGGCTTCCGCTGCAGGAGAGCACCGGTGGGTGGAGGCCACACAGACAGATGGGCCTCATAATGCTGGGGACCCTGGCCACTTATGGCACCAGAGGACCAGAAACTGCAGAGGTGTCTGTATGAGCAGTTGGCCTCCTGTGCTTCTGGGCTCTGGTGTAGGTGTGCTTTTCACGTGCAACCTAGGCCAGAGGTTCTCATGTGGTAGTGAACTGCTCTGGCTAGAGTCAGGTGATAAGGCTGTGGGGCGTGCCTCCGCTCCTATGTGCTGTTGGACCTCGAGGTGGTTATCAAACATCTCTGAGCCTTAGATGACCTGGTTTTTAAAGTCAGCAGAATGTAACCACTAATAGAACAGTTGTGAGAATAAAATAAGGCTCATAAAACTCAGTAAATGCTTTCTCAATGTTGTTCTTAGACCCTCTCAAGTAGAAGAGGTGGGTGGATCTGCCCAATTCTCTGGCCAGTGCCAGAAGGTGGAGAACCCTTAGGGAGTTTTGTGTGGCAAGAGGTTGGGCCAAGAGGTCCTCTACGGAGGCCCTGAGCCAGTAGCACCTTCTTTCCATGATCAGTTCCTATCTCAAACAGATTCCAGCTGGCATTTTCAATCCAGATGTGCTAAGTACTCACAGAGGGTCATCCTGGATGCTAACTCCAGCATCTGATCTTGACTCCCTTCTGTGTGTGTGTGTGTGGGGGGGTCTGTCCCCTGAGCCCTGAGCCCAGAGTGGGAGGACTCAGAGGGCAGGGAGCAGGGGTGGACAGAGGGTCACTCAGCTGCCCCCAAACACTGATGTTTTTTGAGTCAGTAAGAACACTCCTAGAGCGAGGAGGGCCAGTGCTGGGAAAGTGCATTTAAAAATTAGTCTTCTTTCCCTTTTGCAAAAGTGCCCCAAACTAAAAAGCTTCCCAATGGCTTCTGCTTGGCATGGAGTGTGCAGCCCACCATAGCTGCAGCTAGCCTAGTGGCAGCCCTGGCCTAAAAAGTGACCAGGTCCAACAGTGTAGTACCAGTTACCCTCAGCTCCTCCTTGAGACTGGTGGTTCCCTCGCTTCCCTTCAGCCCAAGTCCCAGAACTCAGATCCCTGCCCTGGCGACAGGGCCCACCCAGGGCAGCCACCCTGAGGACAGACATCTGGCCTGCACTTCCTCCCGTCTTCAGCTATCATGCCCGGATGAAGTAGACGGGGTGGCCGTGGCCTGCCAGGCTGGGCACCGCTTCTGCCTGTCAGTTTAGGACAGTTCAGTGGGGGGTGTCATGGGGGCAGGGGACAGGAAGGAAGGGAGGCATGAGGAGCCTTATCTGTACACAGACAGCGTCCTGGGTGGGGGCAGGTGCAGAGGTGTGCGCAGGTGCATGGGACCTCAGGGAAGTGTTTCCACAGGTGAACAGATACTTTAGGTATTAGGTGCAAAAAAGGCCCAGCTTCCTGAGACACACCCACACTCTGCCAAGGGACTCTAGGCCAGAGGGAGACTCAGGCTCCCACCTCGGCTCTGCCCTGAGAGGTGCTGCGAGTACTTGGCTGAAGGCTCCCCACAGAGGGCTACTGAGGCCCAGATAGTGGGAGTCTGTAGGCCCATGTCTTGTGGCTGGGACCACCAGGAGGTCACTGTCCCCAGTGCTACGTGTCAGAGTAAACCCACAGGGCTCGGGGACCACTCTGGTGTCTGTTCCTCTGCTGACTAAATCAGGGTGGCCACCTCATTCTCACTTCTGAGCCCTCCGGCCCTGGCCCAGGCCCTCTGCTCAGTCCCACCTGGGGAAAAGCTTTAGCTGTTTATCACTTAATCAGCAAAGAAGAGAGGGCACAAGGCTTCAGAAAAGGCTGCCCCTGCCCTCCTTCACCCCCACACTTCTGCTGCAGGTTGGGGAGACCCTCCAAATGGCACGAAACCTGGCCGCTCTTCCCTCCAGCTCTTCCTTCTTTTCTGAATTCTTGCTGGTACCTCTGATGCCCAGCCAGGGGGGAACTGTCCCAGCAGTATCTTCTCTCTGCTTGTGTCCTAGGGACAGAGCCCACCCCAGTGCCTGTCTGCTTTTCCACCTGTCCCTTTCTTGTTCTCCAACTGGTCACATATTGTTTTACTCTCTCTGATTCTCTCTCCCTTTGGATAGTTATCCGCAGGCCATGTAGCATTTGAATATGAAATATAGTGCATATACAGGGTGCAGAACAAAGCAGCCGACTACCAGTAAACTAAGCCAGAAAGAACAAGGGCTGAGCTCCTCCGGGATCTGATAGTCACCAGCTGCCTAAGACCCATGTTTTATGGACAAAATAGAATTACATGAAAAGACTGCATGAAGTTTGCCACAGAAGTGTGTGACTCAGACATGCTGTGAGACTCAACCACCACCTTCCACTCACCTAAGAATTGTCTTTCGGCCACAAAGGAAGCCTCAGTTCAAAGCTGAGAGCAGCTGGCAGCAGCTGCTGCCATGCCAATCACACAGTCCTGTTGTTGAGCAACAGCTGTGCCTGCACACCACCTATGCAACTTTGGGCAGGTTACCTGGCCTCTCTGCACCTAGGTTTTCATGACTATAAAAGGAGACGAAAGATGCTATCTACCTAACATGAGGGTAAGGTGAGGAAAGACATAGAAAACTCTTACTGGTGTAAACCCCAGCCATGCGACATTGCTTTGGACCGCTCAAGGCAGTTTTGAAGCATCTGTAAGAGGGACAGAACTCTTGGCAAATCCAGTGGTTAGGCCCCTGTTGCTCCACGGACAGCACCTCCCCATCCCTGTGGCTGAGTGGCCCTCGGCTGGGAAGACTCCCAGGTGGACTGTTTCCTAGGACAGCCGTGGTCTACCAGCAGCACTGTGTCTATCTCCAGAGAGCTCCCCCGCAATCCCAGAAGTCTGTGTCTCAACAGGAGCATAGAGAGGGATCTGGGGGCGGGGCACTACTAAGGAGGAGCTGCACCTACAGCCTAGGACCTAGGTGGTGCTCCCTAGGGCCCTGGGGCTGGCGTGTAGAGTGGGAACAAGACTCACTGTCCCCACTATGCCTTCCCTGCTGAGTATGAAAACAAAAGCAAAGTCACATGAGGCATTCGAGAAGATGGGAGAGAACTCAGGGTGCTTCCAGGTGACACTCCAGATTGTCTCCCCAGCCTCATTATGGCCAAATAACCTGTCACCAGAATTAGGATCACTAGGTCTCCAAGAATTGCAGTGACAGCCATGGCCTGAGGCTAAACCACGTGACTACTCCTGGCTGCCCCGTCTCAGGTCCTCTGGCCAGGCCGAGCTTTGTCAAGTGCCCCTCCAAGCAGAGCCAGTGCCGATGAGCAGCCTCTGCCTGCTGCTCCCTGGAGGCCCGAGGTGGGGACAGCCTCCCTCCCTCTGGTCCAACACCAGAAGACTTTCTAGCTCACTGGCCCTTGCCTGGTCCCCCTGCTGTCCTGACCACTGTTTTCTTCCTCCCATCCAGATTGTGGCTGCCATCCTGGCCATTGCCGGCATTGTGATGATGACCTATGCTGACGGATTCCACAGCCACTCTGTCATCGGCATAGCCCTGGTGGTGGGCTCTGCGTCCATGTCGGCCCTCTACAAGGTAGCATGGATGAGCTTCCAGCTGGCCTGACTCCTCCTAGCAGGCTGGTTTCCTGTGCTGCCTCCACTCTCTGGCACCCTGGGTGGCACTGATACTGCTGAAAGGCATTTGTTCTTGGTGCACCCCAGGCAGGTGGGGACCTCAAGGCAGAAATTTTCTGTTGGCGTTGGCCCTCTGAGCCTTTCTATCAGTGGTACATGTTTGCAGCATTTGGGATGAAATGATTGGCACTGGCTGGATCTGCAGATTTGCAACTTTATTGTCACCAGTCCAGATAAGGGTGGGGGCCCTCTAGCCTGGCTCATGTTTGCTCAGATAAGTTCCAAGCTGGCTGGACGTGCAGACCTGGAGCAGCTTTATCACGTGAATGTTGACCATATCACGAGTGTTCAGCATGAGTCCCCAGGTGTTTTAGTCATCATCTTTGGGCTCAACAAACACAAGCTCAGAGCTGTGGTAGGACTAAGATTCTCCACACAATGGCGGGAACCCCTAGAAAGCCCTTCCCTGCTGCAGGTCTAGAGGCAACAATTTTATTCCCACACCAGGGTCCCTCGCCGTGTCCACCCCAATTCCTTCAAGCCTCCAGGCTGCTCTTTGCCCATCATCCTTGCTCCCTCTGCCTCCTCCTCAGACGTGTAGTAAAGAATGCAAACCTCTTCAGGCCTCCCAGCTGGGAGCCTGGCCTGGAGGACTCAGCTTTGAGACTCTGCAGACAGTAGGGCAGAGAATGGAGTAGTATAGAAAGTCACAAGGAAGACATGGTCCCTGTGCTGAGTGCCAGGCCTTGTGGTTTGTGGAAAGAGAAGTGATTTTATATGCTAATCCATCAGCTCTCTGCCCTAGCTGCCCACGGTGGCACACGTCACTGAAATAGGTGTGATAGCGCAGCATCATTCTGAGACTTCACCACCACTGTCCCAATGCAGAAAACATTAGAAGGCCATGCTGTGCTCTGGCCAATGAGCTGCACGCTCACGAGGAGCAGAGTGTGCAGAAAGGCCATCTGCAGGGAGGCCTCCATCTCCTCTGTCTCCCCCACTGCCCGGAGTTCAGCTAGGGGGTGCAGGGGAGGCTGGGAGCTGATCCTTCCCCTTTCTGTACTTCCTGCACGTGTGGCTGTGGATGGCTTGCAAGGAGAAACAGCAGGCGCAGGGATAGCAATGCAAGGCAGGGACTCAAACTGGACCCATAGCACCAAGCAGGCTGGATGGAGTCTGGCCACTCCAGCCACCTCTGTGCCTCTTCTCCCGGCTTCTGTGCCTGGGATGCTGAACAAGCAGGGCAGGAAGTAAGAGTCCGTGACTCCACTAAACCCATGCCACTCTGTCATGGGGGTGGCGATCAGGCCACAGATGAGCAGAATCCCTCCACTTCAACTTAGAGAAAATTTCCCTATAGCCAAAGCTCTTCTGAGGGGTTGGAGGCAGTGATTGTTGAACCCTGCTGCCCAGGGGCAGGGATCAGTTTTAGGGCCTCTAATAAGAGGATGTGTCACCACGGCAGGGTAGCTCCACTTGATGTGGTGTCATGAGCATTCAAACCTAGTGTGAAGACCTGGGAACAGTAGAGATGCTCACGGTGGACCCAGACTGTCCATCTCTGCACCACTGAGATGGGAGTGCACAGGCCCATCGCCCTTCACGGACCTCTCAGGGGTGTAGAGCTGTCCTGAGACATGGGCAACCCGGTTTTCAGGTGTGCCGCTTTGCTCACACAGGCCTGGGGTCTCAGGGGGCCCTCACCTGCTTCTCTCTCCTGCAGGTTCTGTTCAAGCTCCTGCTAGGCAGTGCCAAGTTCGGGGAAGCCGCCTTGTTCCTGTCCATTCTGGGTGTGTTTAACATCATCTTCATCACCTGCATCCCCATCCTGCTCTACTTCACCAAGGTGGAATACTGGAGCTCCTTTGACGACATTCCATGGGGAAACCTTTGTGGATTTTCAGTCCTCTTATTGAGTAAGTGGTCACCACCCTGTCCAAAACCCCCAGAAAACCATGAAGGACGGACAGGACCCCGTGGAAACCTGCATCCTAAATCAGGAACACAGTGCTTTTTGCTATCCCAGTGTCCTGGCTGCTTTTCAAGGTCTTTGCATTTCATAAAGTGCATCTTTCCAGAACCGCAGACACTGTGAGAGCAACAGTGGCCACTGGCACTCTGAGCAGTAAGCCCAGGGCCTTGCCCATGACCTATGAGTAGTACGCGGTAAGGGTTGGTAAGGCGGTGCCAGTGGAGCTCCTAGGGCACGGCTTAGGTGTCGGTGCTCAGTGAATAAGATCAGTCGGCATTATTGCTGATGTCATCTTCCTAATCACTGTCCCTCAATGGGCAGTGACATCAAGGCAGGCAAAACCCCATCCCAGAGCCCCCGCCCATACATCTGTCCCAGAAGTACTTCCAGCAAACCAGGAAAGCAAAGCCAGTCAGAGGGCCTTTTCCAGCCTCCTCACTGGTCACCTTTCTGAATTCCCTTTCCCTTCCCCAGAGCTCAGGGAAGAGGGGGCTAAGTGGTCAGGATGCTTGTAACTCATCCCAAATTCACTGGGTCCCAGCAAAGGGTCATCAGAGAAACTGGGTCAGGCAGGCAGCGGGAAGGCCCACTGCAGGGCTTCAAGTATATTTGTGAGTAACTCCTATTTTCTAAATTATTTCAGCATTCAATATTGTATTAAATTTTGGAATTGCCGTGACGTATCCCACTCTGATGTCTCTTGGAATTGTCCTCAGTGTACCTGTAAACGCAGGTAAAACTATATGCATGATTTTCTACATTTACTTGTCACGATCACATACACACAGTTGGATCCAGGGGTTTACACACATATTCTCATATATATTCTTGCTGGGCCTGGTCTAGGACACATGTTCAACCTTCTGCAAAGAAAAAAAGCACTTAGGTAAAATGTTGATGCTTGTTGTGTCTGCATGCTGTCTCCTTGATGTTCACGTGCCACACCAAGATACAGAACCCCTAGAACTGTCTCCATTCTAACTGGTGTGGGAGCAGAGATGAATATCATCAGTCTATTCATAGAAAATTATGTAGCAGAAAAATTTAATTTTTGCAAGTGATTTTCTGGAGGAGAAAATTTATTCAGGGTGTGACATAGAAAACTGTTGTCCAGCTGAAGAGGCGGGAACCTTGTCCTCCACCTCCTGGAAGAAAGAGAGTCCTCCGTCTGTTACCTCGTCTTGCATAGTCCTGGGGCCATGGCCACCCGCCTTCTCCTGCCTCACCTCCTTCCTTTGCCTGCCTCACACTGGTTTGGATTTGGGGGTTTCTTCCCAGGATCTCCTGGCCTCTCACCCAACCTCCCTCTGCACCTGCTCCCAGCCTGGAAGAGCCCTGATTCCTTCCTCTCCAGAATACTCACTTCCTCAGCCCTGACACAGCTTCCTCTAAAGTGTCTCCCAAATGCTCCATGTCCAGGCCCCAGAGGGCCAGACTTCCTGGGAACCAAGCCTGTACCAGTGCAAGCCAATCAGCTCTCAGTTCCTGGGCCTGTCCCTGTGACTCAGCCTCACCACCTTGACCCATGAGCTCTGTACATGCCTCACCGAGGCCCCAGCACTTTCCAGAGAGCCACTTGGCAGCAGTGTCGTGTGGCCTGCAGGAGGCAGCAGAACACTGGGCTCAGCCCTGCACCACCATAGCCCCTCTGGGGTTCAGTGGTCCCCACTCATCAGCTCTCTGGGCCTTAGCTCATTGTCTCCCTTACAAACAAAGGCCATGCCTCCCCCGGCTCCTTCAGTCCATACGGGGGTCAGATGGAATAATCCATGAGACGGTACTTGAAGATGCAGCAGCACCTGGGCTCCTGGTAGAGAAGCAGTCCAGGGGCACCAGCTTCTGAAGGGCACTTTGTCAACAGCCCCTCCATTCTTTGCATCTTTAATTTATAGGCATATGAGGTTCTTATGGCAAAAGGCATGTTTTAAGTGAGTCTTACCTAAAACTTACTCTGGTCCCATCCCAGAGCAGGTGTTCGCAAGATTAGTGAGAATCATTTCATATGACTAACTGCAACATGAGAGGTTTAATAAGGGGTCAGCAGAGGAAACCAATTCCTTATTGGAGGAGAACCTGCTGATTAGGAGCTTCTCAGAGAAGAGCCGTCACCTGCCTTTAGGACCCCCCAGAGGTCTGCCCATGAGACTGGCAGGGGGAACTGCCCCACCCCCTGTGAATCAGCAGAACGCTTTGCTGGCATCAAAGTATTTCTGAATTATGGTGGGATAAAAGTGTCATCTTATTCCATAAAAAGGCACTAGAATGTTTTTTTCAGGTTTAGCTTTCATTCTTCTTACTCTTTCTCTAATCACCTGCTAGATGTAGTGGGGGCCAGGGAGGGAGAAGAAGGAGGGGGGTGAGGGAGTGGAGCAAGTGAGGGGTGACAGCAGAGGAATGAGCCCCCAGTGCCGGGGGGTGGATAGTTGTCCAGGGAGTCTGTTTACACAAACTTTGGTTGTGAAGTGTGCACATCTCTCTCCTGGGTGGGTCAGGCAGCATGCCCTGGGGAAAGCAGACTCCAAATGTGCCCAGTCTAGGAAGAGGACAGAGAAGCCCAAAATAGGAATGGAGGCCCCAACAGCGCAGGGTAGTTGAGCACCATCAGGCTGGGAAGGGGAGGACCGTCGGAGCTTCAGGAGCTGAGGTGAACCCACTTCTCGCTTTGTCCTCTCACCGGATGTGTGTCAGGATGAGCCCTGTGCTTGGACAGCAAGGACACCACAGGCACAAGTGATGCCCACTGCATAACAGGAGTTTGCATCTATCATCTTGATCTTCAAAACCTATGTGTGTGTGCATGTGTGTGCGTGTGTGTAGATACATATGTACATACAATGCATGGATTGTAAATTAATGTTTTTAAATTATAAAAATAAAGCATGTCATTATAGACACTGTGAAAAGTACCAAAAATAGAAAGAAAGCAGTACTTTTCATTATCCTCACACCCAGAGGCAGCCACAACAAAGCTTTGCTGTATTTCCATCTAAATACATATATATCTCCAACTTCCCCTGATTGATTGATTGATTGATTGATTGATTGATTTGAGTGGGGGGTGTACCAGGGATTGAACTCAGGGGCACTCCACCACTGAGCCACACCCCCAGCCCTATTTTGTATTTAGAGACAGGGTCTCACTGAGCTGCTTAAGGCCTTGCTGTTGCTGAGGCTGGCTTTGAACTTGCAATCCTATTTCAGTCCCCGGAGCTGCTGGGATTAAAGGCATGCACCACTGCACCTGGCCTTATTTATTTTTTAAACACACAAAAATCAGTGTTTTAACTCAGATGCCAAGTCAGTCTTGGAAGTGAAGTTCAGTGCAAGGCTCAGAACAGGGTTTGGGAAAGTTCAGGTGATATACTAGAGGCCACCCCAGCCTCCTGGAGTGAATCCTACCAGGAGCATTCTATGGTCCAGGAGGAAGGACACTCCTGCTGCCAAGTAACCAGTGCTCTGTCTCCCACAGTGGTTGATCACTACACCAGTCAGATTGTCTTCAACGGGGTCCGGGTCATCGCCATCATCATCATCGGCCTGGGCTTCCTCCTGCTGCTCCTGCCGGAGGAATGGGACGTCTGGTTGATCAAGCTGCTCACCCACCTCAAAGTGAGGAAGAAGGAGGAGACAGTGGAGGGCGGGGCTGACCTGGGCTCAGGACCCCAGAACAGGAGCAGGAGAGCTCGCCCTTCCTTTGCACGCTAGGGCCTCTCTTCTGGGACTCTGGGGCTGCCCCCACGGTGATGATTTGGAAGCCTGTCCCTGACAGGAGGAGCCTCGGTTGGGTAAGGTGTACATACCTGTACAGTTTTGGTAACTGCGGTAAGTCCTACGGTATTTATTGGCATGTCCAATTTGCTTGCACTTTTCCACATCAGACCTTCACTCAAGGGCACCGATTCAATAAGGAAGAGAAGGAACCTCAGCGCTTTCCCAATGAATGTAAAGTGGGTCACCATGAGCCTTGTATTGATTGTTTCTGACAACAGGTGTGCTTAACAAGCCAGGGCAAATGTTTCGAATCTTAGCAACTGAAAATGACATTGTACACTGTGATTATTTTTCAGCTATAGTAGGTCATATTTTGTTTTATACCAGAGCTGTACTCTTAATTTTAAGGAATTTCAATGAACCAAAAGACAACTATCAGTTAATCTGGAAGATGAGTGGATGGGTAGCTGGGTGGACGGATGGACAGAAGGGTGAATGGGTAGAGGGTTGATTACGTGGATGGGTGAATGGGTAGATGGGTGAGTGGATGGGTGGCAGGATGGGTAGATGGGACAATGGCATCGGAAGAAGTGAAGCAGAAAAGGATAATGGACATGACAACCATCAGAGGACAGGTCTGTACCAGGTCACGAAGGGGAAAGGGAAGCCCAGCCCTTGCTGGCCTGCTCTCTCGTGTCTTCATAGATCATGCAGGAGGATTTACAGTGCCTTCTACAGAATTTTTGTCTTTACCTTTGTGACCCAAGGTGACATTCTAAGTCACTGGCGCCGTCTTATAATTTAGATGTAAAATCTTTAGAAAAAAAAAAAAAACTATATGTGTGTGTTCCAAAAAAATGACAAAGCTGGTGACCAATGTCCGTGGAGCCTGGTTGGAGGGGCACAACGTGCGTGTTAAGGTAGACCATGTGGAAAGAGAGCCGCCGGTGGCTTTTACTTCCAGACCAGACTGAAAACTTATTTACTGAATCTGCAAACCTTTTTATGAAATTTTAAGCACCAGGCTGTTTACTTACACAACTTAGGTCTGCCAGACAATTCTATCTGTGATAGATTTGTAAAGAGGGATGGGGGTTAGAGTTTACTATTTTTGAAGTTTACATTGTTATCTATGAAATGGAAGCATTATTTTGAAACGTTGTCATAACTCAATGGTGCATTCTGTAACCATGGAGTCTTTTGTTTCCGGGGGGAAGGGGCATTCATGACCTGAACTTTTTAGCAAATTATTATTCTCAGTTTCCATTACCCGTTTGGCCAAACAGATTAATAAAATATTTGAAAAAGAAGTGCTAAGTGTGGTCTTAGTGCCCACATTGTCACTTGCCACTACAAAGGTCCCACGTAGGCCTGGAGCTCAGGCTGTCCCACAACTAACTGTCCCTTGCCTTCCGGCACTAGCAAGGCAGGTGGGCTGCCTGGGAGAAGGGGACTCTTCCTGTGAAGATAGAACTGGTAATGGTGAAAATGACATGCAGAACTGTCCTGGCCCCAGAAGCCCTCATCCTGAGGCAGCCTGCCCCTCTCCCTCCCTCCTGCTTCTTCTCCCCCAGGCTCTGTCTGCTCAGCTCTGCTGCCGGCCCCCAGTCCTTCTGTTCCTTTGCAGGTGGTTACCCACTGAGCTCACACTGGGTTCTCCTTGTGCCCCCAGGCAGCATCCTGGCCCCTAAGTTCACACAGTCTTCTCTCTGGACTCCCCCTGCTCACCTGCCTCATGTCCTGACCTAATTCTGGCTTCACAGAGAAGTTGATTTGCCCATGTCTGTAACGTTCCACACTGTTCCAGGTGGCTGTGGCCCAGGCTGTGAGATCCAGTGCATCTCATGGAGGGCTGTAGAGGGTCAGGTTCCCAAGATGGGTGTCGGGGGAGAGCCCTAAAGTGCACCTCAGCTGTCACCCCTCCTGGAGATTCTGCATGATAGGTACCAGTGGCAGTGTGGGCTCTGAAACTGGGGCAGCTGGCTGCCCAGAGGGCCCCCACCCAGTGTGTCCGGGTGCGTGAAGGCAGAGGCTGGGCATCAGAATCCTGGTTCAGACACCTCCATCACCACCATTTAACCCAGCCAGACGAACATTCCCTCTGAGGCCATATCATGAAAGTCTGGGAAGCCCTTCCCTATAGTTACCTTCTTCTCCTAACTGGCATAAAGGCCTCTGAAGATCCAAGAGTACTGACACTAGGACTCCACAAGGTACCTGCACCCTGTGTTCACGGCAACATCATTCACAATAGCCAAAGGGCGGAAGCAGCCAGGTGTACCCAGATGGATAGACAGACAGACAGATGTGTGTGCATACAATGGAACACTCTTCAGCCTTCAAAGCAGGGAAGTTCTGACACGTGCTCTAGCATGGTTGGCCCTTGAGGTCATTACGCCAGGTGAAAATGAGCCAGGCAAAACGGCAAGTGCTTGCGACTCTGCTCAGGAGGGACCTAGAGTCCCAAATTCATAGAGATGTTGCCAGGGGCTGAATGAAGGAGGGAGAGGAGTCAGTGTTTAAGGGGGAAAGAGTTGTATTGATAAGAGAAAGTTCTAGAGATGATGGTGGTAACAGTCACATACGACATCAATTGCTTAGACCTGTGTGCTTTAAAAGGCTCATTATGTGTATGTTAGGCCAGAGTAGAAAGGATGTGGTGTTCGAAATAAAGGTGAAAATTCTGTGCCCCTTTCAGGACATTAGAAACCTGAGTTGGGCATGGCATGGGTTGAGAGATTATTTTGCAGAAAGTATATGACTACCCCCACCCACCCCCATACCCCAGAGACAGACAGCACTAGCCCTTGAGCACTGAGGGGTGCTGCAACAAACCTCGAATGGACCCCTAAATACAAAGTCCAGGAAAGGTGTTCCGGCAGGCGGTTCTGGGCCACAGGGTGCTCCTGCCCGGCCCAGGAACATCCGCCCTCTGGAGACCTATCTAGGCAGCAATCAGCGCCCTTTCCCTGTGATCCAGAGAAGAGCCTTCGTGAAGCTGGTGGAGGCAGGAAGCTCTCAGCAGCCCCCAGCTCTCCCCTTTCTTTCAGAACCTGAAGCCATTATGTGACTTCAGACTGCCCTGCCACTGAGCCAGAGCTGTCTGAGAACACGAGCTGCACGGCCACTGAGCTCCTGCAACCTGGCCAGGTGGCCGTGGCCCTGAGGCATCATCCTGGACCCTGGGAGCACCACAGGAAGCCTGCGGACTGTTCTGAGGGCCCTGCCTGGCATCCTCCTTCCACAGAGGTCAGCAGGGCCATTCCTGTTCCAAATAGTTCCTGAGACTCACCAAGTCCCAGAGAGCCTTGCAGCAATTACCTTTTGTTTAAAGACAGCGAGACGCCATTTCTATTGCTTCTAAGACCCCTGAACGGTGACGAGTGCCAGGATACGGGTGTTCAAGGACCGAGGGGACTTGGGCTAACTTGGCCTGGCTTGTTCTTACTTCCTGGTAGACACCCTATTTGCAGCTGAAGTGCTTTAACCTGGCCATATTTCTAGTCTGCTTTGAAGAATGGACAAGAATGATTTCTAAGAAATGCATCAGGGACAGAGAAAGACTTTCATGAGTTCTTCACAGTGTTTACAATATTTTAAACAAAATTTTAAAATAATACCGTTATATATTTTTTTAAATCAACATTGCAAAATTCTTGAAAAATCCTTTTTGTGAGTTAAAAAGTGGTAAATTTCAGCTCGGATAAGTTGGCTTCATATTATGGAGAACTTTGGAGTTACTAGAATCCCAGGACTTGAGATTTTATGTAACTATAGCTTAATGGACTGAGAGTTCTAGTTGAGGGAAGCCTTTGGCCCTGGTTCTCTTATTTTAAAATAATTCCTCCTTCCTAAAGAGACTAGAGATGCCTATGGTTACTGTGGTGGCACTGGTGGCAGTGGCGGCAGGCACAACAGGTGCGTGGGGACACTACATTGAAGAGGACAGGAAAGTTCTTAGGCACGCTCTCTGGAGGTAGCAGGAAGGCGGGGCAGGTTTGCCTTCATACCTGCTGCTAGGTTTGGGGTCTGGCATGTCCCCAAGGCCCAGGTATTAAGGACTCAGAACCCAGCCAGGAGCTGTTGAGAGGTAGTGGAACCTTTAAAAGGTGGGGCCTCATGGGAGGCCTGCAGGCCATGGGGTGTGCCCTGAGGGGATTGTAGGGCCCCAGCCCCCTTCTCCTTTCTTTTGCATCAGCCATGAGGTGAATGTGCTTCCTCTGCCATATACTCCTGTCATGACATGCCACCCCAGGCCCAAAAGCATCAGGGCCAACCAATCATGAACTGAAACCTCCAAAACTATGAGCCCAAATAAACCTTTTTTCCTCATAATTTGGTTATCTCAGATGTTTGTTGCAGTAACAGAAAGCTGACCAGCACCTGCCTGGCTTTTCGCCGGCTGCTCCACTCCACCGTAAAGCACACAAGAGAAGAGGCTCTTGCAAAGGGCCAGCCTGGAGGGACTTACTCCAGAAGGAGCCCGCAAGATGCCCCATGTTCATTCCTCACTGATCACCCGAGCCTTTCACCTTGTTAGGAATCTGTGTCAGTTCTCTTATTGTCTAATTTTTTGAGTTCTTTGTATACTCTGGATATTAGGGCTCTATCTGAAGTGTGAGGAGTAAAGATTTGTTCCCAGGGTGTAGGCTCCCTATTTACCTCTCTTATTGTTTCTTTTGCTGAGAAAAAACTTTTTAGTTTGAGTAAGTCCCATTTGTTGATTCTAGTTATTAATTTTTGTGCTATGGGTGTCCTATTGAGGAATTTGGAGCCAGACCCCACAATATGTAGATCGTAGCCAACTTTTTCTTCTATCAGACGGCGCGTCTCTGATTTGATATCAAGCTCCTTGATCCATTTTGAATTCACTTTTGTGCATGGCGAGAGAAAGGGATTCAGTTTCATTTTGTTGCATATGGATTTCCAGTTTTCCCAGCACCATTTGTTGAAGATGCTATCCTTCCTCCATTGCATGCTTTTAGCCCCTTTATCAAATATAAGATAGTTGTAGTTTTGTGGATTGGTTTCTGTGTCCTCTATTCTGTACCATTGGTCCACCCGCCTGTTTTGGTACCAGTACCATGCTGTTTTTGTTACTATTGCTCTGTAGTATAGTTTGAAGTCTGGTATCGCTATACCGCCTGATTCACACTTCCTGCTTAGCATTGTTTTTGCTATTCTGGGTCTTTTATTTTTCCATATGAATTTCATGATTGCTTTCTCTATTTCTACAAGAAATGCTGTTGGGATTTTGATTGGCATTGCATTAAACCTATAGAGAACTTTTGGTAATATCGCCATTTTGATGATGTTAGTTCTGCCTATCCATGAACAGGGTATATTTTTCCATCTTCTAAGATCTTCTTCTATTTCTCTCTTTAGGGTTCTGTAGTTTTCAAACAACCCAATCAACAAATGGGCCAAGGACCTGAACAGACACTTCTCAGAGGAGGACATACAGTCAATCAACAAGTACATGAAAAAATGCTCACCATCTCTAGCAGTCAGAGAAATGCAAATCAAAACCACCCTAAGATACCATCTCACTCCAGTAAGATTGGCAGCCATTATGAAGTCAAACAACAACAAGTGCTGGCGAGGATGTGGGGAAAAGGGTACACTTGTTCATTGCTGGTGGGACTGCAAATTGGTGCAGCCAATTTGGAAAGCAGTATGGAGATTTCTTGGAAAGCTGGGAATGGAGCCACCATTTGACCCAGCTATTCCCCTTCTCGGTCTATTCCCTAAAGACCTAAAAAGAGCATGCTACAGGGACACTGCTACATCGATGTTCATAGCAGCACAGTTCACAATAGCAAGACTGTGGAACTAACCTAGATGCCCTTCAATAGACGAATGGATAAAAAAAATGTGGCATTTATACACAATGGAGTATTACTCTGCATTAAAAAATGACAAAATCATAGAATTTACAGGGAAATAGATGGCATTAGAGCAGATTATGCTAAGTGAAGCTAGCCAGTCCCTAAAAAACAAATGCCAAATGTCTTCTTTGATATAAGGAGAGTAACTAAGATCAGAGTAGGGACGAAGAGCAGGAGAAGAAGATTAACATTTAACAGGGATGAGAGGTGGGAGGGAAAGGGAGAGAGAAGGGAAATTGCATGGTAATGGAAGGAGACCCTCAGGGTTATACAGTGGAGGGGGTAGAGAGAGAGGAGGGGAGGGAGGGGAGAGGTGGGGAGGGGGGAGGGTGGAGGATGGGAAAGGCAGCGGAGCACAACAGACACTAGTATGGCAATATGTAAATCAATGGATGTGTAACTGATGTGATTCTGCAATCTGTGTATGGGGTGAAGGTGGGAGTTCATAACCCACTTGAATCAAAGTGTGGAATATGATATGTCAAGAAATTTGTAATGTTTTGAACAACCCACAATAAAAAATTAAAAATAAAAAAAAAAGAATTATTATGCAAAAAAAAAAAAGGAATCTGTGTCATGCTAACAGACTCCATGGGGAGTCTCAGAGGCTGAGGTGGGGCCAGCAATGTACACGGATCAGAGGCCCGCACATAAGTGTCAAACGGCCCTACACACTCACATCCAACACAGACATGAGTGGCCACCAGGCAGCTCCTCCCTAAGAAGAGACTCGGGTCCCAGACTGCTTCCCTGTGGCTCTGGTCTGCAATGCGCAGCTTCCAGGACGTGTGAGCCTGACAAGGTGCCCTTGGAGGAGGCTCGCCCGAGCTGTGTGGCCTGCAGGGCAAGCCCCAGCCTATCTCTGCACAGGGGCATTTGGGCTTCAAGAGAAATCCCCACTGGTGCACTGCTTTGCTGTTCTCTTCCAGGCTACACCGACTAGAGGGGACTAGAGGTTGAATTTCCCCCTCTGACCACTGTCTTTTGGCACCTCCATTTACAAGCCCTGTAATTCGATTATACCAACTGAGTGGAATTATTCACCCAGTGTCCCCAGTCTCCCTCTTTATCTGATTTCATCCTCACAGTGAGAAAGCTGAATTTCTGGCATACCTCATGGGGATTCGGGGAGTCAGACACTTTTCCAGGATTTATAGGCATCCCTGTTGAATGGTATCACTCCATGTGTGGAATTTCCTGAAGGACACCATATGTGAGTGAATGTGTGTGTGTGTTTGTGTGTGTGTGTGTGTGTGTGTGTGTGTGTGAGAGAGAGAGAGAGAGAGAGAGAGAGAGAGACTGTGGGCTTCCGATTAGCACATCTTTCCAATTAGCTATTGCTACTTGTTCAAATTAAGTTATTCATGTAAGCAAGTCACTGTGTGATAATTGGTACCTTTCATTTAATGATACTATTTAGAGTAGATATACAGTTATTGAGGTACAACCTGGTGACTTTATTCAGTCCCTATTGCAAGCAGTGACCACTTAGAGTGATCCTACTATTTTTCTCCAAAGCTTAACTTTAAACATTCAAATCTTTCCATTAGTACCACTTTAAAGTGCAAAGTACATTTGGATATTTAACTAACGCCAGATCTGACTCATCTGAGAGTATTATTGCTTCAAAACTTTGACAGATTACTTTTACCTAGATTTTCTTTGAATTTTCTGATAGTACTGAGTTTTTAAAGTAGCATCATTATTGACGTTCAACCCCTGGTGCTAATTGCACACTATTTTATTACCAGGTGTTCCCGGACATTAAATCTCATGCCCTCTTCCCCCCTCTCCACTTCTGCACCAGCAGTCACAGTGCCACCTACACACGTCCAAATTGGTTGTGTCACTGACATGTCTCTAGGAGTCTCCCTGCACCTGTACTGCACTGCCACCTGCCCATTCCCATGCCTACTTCCCAGGCTGCTGTGGGTCCCCTGGATCATCCTGGGATCAAAGTGCTGTCAAGGGCATCAATGTCTTCCCAGCTTCATTAAAGAAGCTCCTTCCCTGGCCTGGACCCCAGGACCTCACAATCCAACTCACTGCTATGACAATCCCACCATCTCCTCCCCTTCGACCACCTCCTACCATCCACTGTTTCTCAAGTGTGACCTGTGCTCTCTTGACTTGGTCCTGCAGTGGATTCTGCATGGGTCGCCCTCCACAGCCATCTCTTTAGCTGGATATCACTATCTACCTCAGGTGCTTTCTCCTTCCTGGAGCCTGCGCATTCCCCCTGGAGGATTAAGATGCCTACCTGTGATGGCCACCACTACAGTCACTCCCTCTCCTGCCTTACACCAAGGTCAAGACTTATAGATATGAATGCCCTTGAGAGAAAAAAAACACTCACCCTTGCCTTGTGCTCCATCCCCCTCAGCGGCAGCAGAGCCCCACTCACAGTGGGACATGCACATTCATGGACTTACCTCTCATTACTGACTTTTAATAATTGAACATGATTTATTGCAGACCTGTGCCACTCTCAACTCTCCCCCAAAGTGCAAGATGAATGTCTCAGGCATGGAAATGTCCTAGTCAACCATCACAGAATTCTCCCAGGATCTCATCTATCCCACCCAAAAGGATGTCAAACTTTTGTCCTATAATCCTAAGATTTATGAAGACATTAGCACACAGTTGCCCAAAACAGGGCTCTTCCTACTCAATGTGAACTATGAATCCTCTGGACTTCCAATAACCAGTTGCACAGAGGGGGCCCCAGTTCCTACAGGAATCCTCATCATGCCAGTTGCTCAGGGTGAATACTGGGAGGCAGTCTGCTTGGAACACAGGCCAGGTTCACACCTGGGACCCACAAAGGACTGGATCTAAAATGATCCCTCCTAAAATGGGAAGGTCACTTGGTCACTGGTGCAGCTCAGCTCCGCATAGGGCAGAATGCTACTAAACTCCCTTCACTGCTCTTAGCATTGTGTCAATGATTTCCCCCGAATGAAGACATCAGAACTCCAGCACACTGTGAGCTCTGACTTCTGAACCCTCCATGCCAACTGAAGTTGAAAGTTTTTCCTGTTTAGTTCAGTGTTGAATCTTGGCCAGATCCCAACTAATCAACCACACCTACCCTGAGCGTTTCTAATTTTCCTCCCCTGATTCTTGATCTACCTTCCCTGTGAATCACATTGAATAGTAAGCATTTGTAGGGATGGAAAAAACCCTTTGAGTCAGAAATTTTAAATTGAGAAACAGACAAAAAAACATACACATGAAATAAGAAGTACCAAATCTCAGGAAATGAACTGAAGAAAAACAATTATCTCAGAAACGAAGTTCCTCCAGATAATAGATTTGACTGAAAATACAGACATTTGAGCAGGATAATGAGAAAAAAATGAAAAAGATTTTAAAAATCAGTGGGTTAAAAGAGGCAAAAGGATCAGGAAAAAAGCCACAAATGTGAATCTCAGGGGGGAAAAAAAATCCCTGTGTGAATTAACAAATTACTCTTAAAAGAAAACACAACATTGGAGCATTGTAAATATTTAAAAGAAAAAGTTTTATGGAAAGACGAAGATCTGAATACACATAGTAAAGACCCAGTGTCTACCTAGACAAACAAACAAACAAAAATTTAACCAGAATGGTCAATCCCAAAACACATTCCTGGTAAAAGCATTAGATTTTAAGAAAAAGAAAAAGATATATCTGGGACTCCAGAAAAGACTAAGCCACTTATGAAATTATAAAATGGAAGGGGGCAGGGAAATTAAAATAGAATCAGATATCTCAGTAGCCAAATTAAACAAAATTTAAAAGTGGGCAAGCATTTTGAGTTAAGGATGTTTTACCCTGCCAAACTGTCCTTTGAGTATTCCTGAGCCAGCACAAAGAAGGAATAGTGAAGATTAGGCTAGAAATAAGCAAAAGACAGAATAGAAAAAAATAGAGAATCAACAAAACCAAAAGTTATTTGAAAAGTTTGATTAAAATGACAAATATTTAGCTATACTGAAAAGAAATTTTTAAAAAAGAGAGATGTTACAAAAAACTAAAATTAGAAAGGACACAAGGGACTTTATTACTGACCTCTCAGAAACAAAAGAATTATAAGCAAACACCATGTGGGTAATTATACCCTGTAAATTAGATAACTAAGATATAATAGAAAAATTCCTAGAAATAGACAC